TATGGCCTGGCACACAGAGACACTGATCAAATACTTGTTAAATTAATCGGTTGAGGATAACTGCTAAGTCAACCCTTTTCTTCTTCTGTTCTTCTGTACAACACGCTTTTCTTCATCGGCCTCTTGGCGGGGTAAAAGGGTGATGACGTCAGGTTGTCGAGAAATTTGCTACTATATTTAGAGTTTACTAAAATAGACCTGTGGAAATATGGCTTCACATTCGCTATTAATGATGACCCTCACATAGAACATTTTTAAAATTTTATTTGTGTGTGTGTGTGTGTATGTTTTGCCCACATGTATGTCTGTGCATTGTGTGCAAGCAGTGCATGTGGAAGCCGGAAGAGGGCATTGAATCCTCTGAAGCTGGAGTTAGAGACAGTATGAGATAAAATGTGGGTGCTGGGAACTGAACCCATGTCCTTGGCAAGAGCAGTGAGTGCTCGCAACAACAGGGCACATCTCTAACTCCGCATCTCCTTTTGCTTAAGATTACAGAACATTTTTCAAATGTATTTATTTTCTATTAGCATATAAAACAGATATACTTACAGCACTTTCATACGTGTTTGGTTTAAGTTGTTCACACACACTCGCTCCTTTCAGTCAAAAATTCTATAAAATCAGTGGTAGAATGCCGGGCCAGTGAGCATGAGGCCCTAGATTTGACCCACAGCACCACCAAAGAAATTATGAAAACATCATGGATAGATATGAAGGAATATGTCCACTTCTCCTTTCATTCATTTATTTACATATTTTAAATTCAGTCAAATATGTAGTTTATGATATATTTATAATTTATAAGCACATTATAATATAGCTAGTAATGTCATACTAAGTGGGATGATACATACATAAACATAGCAGATTGAATATGAACACTCAATTTTTTTTAATCACTGCAAGGTATTTGCAATTAAGATTTAAATACCATTGTTCTAACCCTCTGGTGCACACTGACTGATGAGTCATTTTCAATGGAGTTGCTTAGGAGCATTTTACCCCGGATGTCCCACAGACCAGTCCTCAACAAGTGGGGCTGACACCTAAGAAAACCATCAATCAAACATTTCAGGTATGTTCATTTCAGGTAGGCAGGACAAGTAGGATCCGAGAAGGAAGTGTGCTTGGAAGGCTGAACAGAAAACAGACTGAGAAGGAAAAGATAATCATGGAGGCCAAGAGAAGAGTGAGGACCAGCCTGTGTGTAGACCTTTGGAGCCATGACAAAGTCTTCACAATTAATTGTTAGTGAAACTGAACCCTGTTGGTGCCTATCAGCAGACTATGATGTTTTTATGTTTTTGGAAACATCACTAAGTCCTTCAATCCATCTTTGACCCAGAATGTATTTTTATCACCATCTGTTTGCTTTGCCCATGTCTCAGATAGCTTTAAACTAGGAAGAAAATACCAAAGTGTATAAACGTATCACCTCCATGGACACAGCTATCATATTAAACCACACACACACATGATTCTCCTTGATTCATTCTGCATTAAGTCATTCAGGTTATCTTTGATGTTGCATGTAGTTTCCACTTGACACCAGCTGCAACATTCCACTGTTTAAATATGCCACAATGAATTCAGCCATTCCCTTGTGGATGGGCATGAGTGACATTTTAGTGTCCCATTCATTACAAACCTCAGGCCTCAGAAAGTCAGCTCTTGCATATCTTCACCAACTCTAACTTCATATGCTGGTGAGGGCTATTGAGTTTTACAGCTGTTTGCATCTGCAATTGTGTTCAATTGTTAAATGTCCTCCAAAGTGATTCTGCAGTGTGTGAAGTTCCTGTTTCTCTGCATCTTTGTAAGAGCCAGAGGTGGTGGATGATTCCAAAGAAACAGCATCTTCCAGACACAACAGGGCTCATGCACATATGAACTCAAAGAGACTGTGACATCGTGTTCGAGACCTTGCACAGATTCAACCAGACTAGATCCCAGCTCAGAAGTAGAAGCGGACACAAAGTCCCACCCATAACCAAGAAGCTGTTTGCAACTGAAGACTGCTGGGAAAGGGGTATGCTCTCCAAAGGGATGTCCCTGGGTAGATCAACCACAGTCCAGATCAGGCTTCATGCCCAGGAGTAATAGGCCAACACAAAATGGACTCCGTGGATTTTTTGTGTTGCAATTGTAATAGTAGTAGTAGTAGTAGTAGTTGTTGTTTTTGGTAGTGGTGGTGGTGGTGGTGATGGTTTGTGTGTTGAGGGAGTCTATTTTTTTTAATTTGAGGAGAGTTGTATTGGTTTTTTGTCTTTTTTTTTTCTTTTTTCCTTTTTTTTGGTTTTGTTTTTCTAAGAGAAAGAACATGAAGTTGGGTGGATAGAGAGATAGGGAGGAAGTGGGAGGAGTTGAGGGAGGAGGAAATGACCAAAATATATTGTACAAAAAAATTTTAAATAAAAAGTTCTCATCTATTCCCAATTTTCTAAACAGTTTTCCTCCCATGAATTAGTGTTGAAATAAATGACCATGGTAATGGGAATGTTTTTGTTCATTTGGTTTATTAATATGTATCTTATAAATTTCTTTTTTATATTATACTATGGTGCATCATTAGAATTAATCTTAACTAGTTATGATGCATTTTATTTTATAGACTGCTGAATTTGAAATTGCTAGCACTCCATTTAATATATTTTATAAATTATAATGATCTATAATTTGTTTCCTTTTTAAATATTGATTGCTTCAAAGGTTGAGCTACATATTTCTCTCTTTCTCTCCGTAGTGATTTCTGGCATTTGACATTTTAATAAAAGTCAGTCACAGTGAACTGAGCATGGCACACTCTTGACAGACTCTTTGGGAAGCAACAGGAAAATTTGAATTTTAATTTAAAAAATTTCTAATTTTTTGCTTATCATGTTATATTTTCTGTCCTGACTTTGGACACAGATTTCCTAAAAGGCAAAGTTTTTCTTTTTCTTTACTGTTGCTTTATAACAGCCATTTGACCTTTTTTGGAGGGGGGTACTCAATGAACACAATATATAAAGCATGATACTGAAACACGGATATTCAGATGCTGGCCAGATAGAGGGCATCCAATGCGTAATCTATGATAGTGCCCCACATATGATATATGTTCTTTAATATATGCTATGTGCTATGCAGTATTTGACATACAATACAGAACAGCCTAAATGTGATATATAATAGGAAATGAAGTATACAATACTTAGCATATAGTGTAGCTATAACCTATGACAACATAGAAGTCTTTTAAAGAGAAATATCTTAAAATGTTCACTGCCATCTCTGGGATTCCCCCAAAGGACACAGCCACACAAACAGAGAGAGAAGAAGAAAGAACAAAAGGAAGGAAGTGGCCTGTCCAATTGAGCACCCAGGAGACGCCACGACCCAGGGCTCAGACAGGACTTCACGGCCCTGCACTCCTTGCTGAAATCCAGAGGAAAAGAGGGGTGCCCGGGAATCAGCTGGGAGCAAGCTTCATGTTGCTGTATCAGTGTAGGCAATGCATGACTGCCACGTGGAACACATCTCTCCAAGAGGGACTTGGGACCTTCCTTTAGGAAGTTCTGCTTTCTGAGGGTCTAGGCACACTAATGGAATGGCCTCGATAAGGGGATTCTGTTAATGTCCCTTCCCTTTCCTACAAAACCCTGCTGTGAGTCACAGACTCCATTAGCTGAATGGATTCTCAGGCGGCCAATGACTTCAAGTCCGAATGGAAAAACAACCACTGACACAGAAAGCAGCAGATGCCTTATTTAGACTCAGCCCTCTGCTCCAGTGCAGAAAGAGTCGGCATAAAATCAGGTCATGGTTTTGTTTGTGTGTTTTAAGTAGGCCATGTTTTCATCTTCTCCACGCTGGCCTCGTTTTTCATCTTCGAACGTGAGTTTACACCTCTGATTGTTACTAGAATTCTATTTCTAGTCGCTGCATCCTACTTTTGAGTAAGCACCAACTCAGGGCAAACCCACTCACACACCGTGACGGAGCTTTTGTTGTTGTTGGATTTGGGCTTTCTTCTTTCCAGATTTTTCTTTGTCCCATTGGTTGGTTGTTGTTCTTGGGTGTGTTTGTTTGCTTGTTTGTTTGTTTGTTTGTTTGTTTGAGACAGGGTGTCACCACGTAGCCCTGGTTAGCCTGAAACTACTGAATTTTGGAAAGGGCAAACTAGAAGGTAAAACTATCTTAGAATAATTCCCCAAACCCTCTTCATCTGCCTGGGACCTAGTGAGGGCATCAGTATCTCTGCACTCTGGAGTCCTCTTTAGATGACATTGCAATTGCCCTCCAAGGCAAATAGGACATGGAGCCATACAGAGCTCTTACAATGTGTATTTCTTACAATGTGAAAAGTCTCCTCCTTTTCCCAGTCCCGCTTTTGTAAACAAAGCTCAGGTATGGCTAAATCTGGGATGCTACCAGGGCTCCGCGACAGTGGGACCGGCCTGCTAGCCAAGGCGACCATCTCTGTGTACACACCAGGGTCACTGAGAGAGGCACACATCGTGGAGATAGACGTTCACTTTGGCCTTCCATGAGTGGGCCATTAGCAACCAGGGAGTAAAGGCAGCCTGCTAAGAGGTCACACAGAGTGTTGAAATTTTGCAGTGTTTTAACTTTTTCTGTATCAAACCAGTCATTCCTTGTATTGACTACTGTAAGACAAAATCATCATGCTAGACCCCCTAAATTGTAACACATATAGGCACTGAAAAAAGCATCTAGTCCATGTTTCTAGTCTTGATAATCAGATAAGTCTTTCCTTGGTACACATATATCTATGTGCTCAAAGAAGGAAGAGCTCACACGATTCTCAGACACAGACTCAAGGTTCTGTAGGAAATATCTTTTAGCGTCCTCATTTAGGGATTTAAAACACAAATAATTTACAGTTATAATTTCCGAAATAACTATGAAGGAATAGACGCCGAGTGTCAAGCTACGGAACACCGAGAGAGGACAGTACAGATGTGGTCCTAGGCAACAGGCTTCTGTTTACTCACGTTTGTCTGAGATGCGCCTCTCTCCCACAGGGTCACATTGCTCACAATGGGAAGATAGCAGAGGGACTTCTGGAAGAGAGGGAACAAGGCATCTGGCGTCACTTCAGTCTCATTTCGTCACTGAGAGATGAGTTTTAGGCAGCTCAGAAGCTCATTTGTTCAAAGAATGGCCGTTCATACAGTGAGTACCTGATAATACCCAGAACACTGGCCCAGTTACCATGGGAACCGTGACAAACTCCAAATGCAGTTGCCACCTTTCAGAGTCCAGATGAAGCCACATGTAGGAAGTTTAAAGAAACCTCATGAATGAATTTCAAATGTTGATACTGGTGTATTATAAAGGGAGAAAATGACTCTTGAGGTTTCTTTAAACTTCAATTAAGATGAAACTGGTACACCCTTTGCCATACACTTTTGGTATATGTCACACAATCTTGAGCCATCCTCAACTGATATACGCAAAGCTAACCCACATACCCAAGAACATTAGTAAGAAATGAACACTACTTGGTGGAAGTCATTAATTTGGAACTGTATGTTATGCAGAGTTAACATGGAAAAAACTTGCTTGAAACAAATGTGCAATGCATATAATATGATTGCTTGGGGCAGCCAGAGAAGGTAACCTGAGGACTTCATTATAGGAGAGAACCTTGACATTTTCCAGAAAATGTCAAACTTTAATAAGATGATATCAGGATTGGTTTTCTAACTTCTTGTTTTCAATTTGATGTTTTTCATTTAGTTAGTCACAGTGTTCAGAGCCCTTGACCCAGCATTTGCTAAACTCAATCCTGGTACCTTGAAGAGTACACCCCAACATACCCAAGGCCAGGATACAGGTATGCAACTGAAAATCAGTAGCCCTTCTACATTTCACCAAGGGGGCAAGGATTAAAACATTTTATTGGTTGATTTAATTTTATGTGTAGGTATATGTACCTTAATGTATGTACATTTACCATTTGTATGAAAGTGTCCAAGGCAGCCAGAAGAGGGTGTGTGATTTCCTGGAGCTGGAGACATGGCTGATTTTAAGCTGTCTGATGTGGCTATTAGAAATTGAACCTGGGTCCTCAGCAAGATCAGCAAGTTCTCTTAACTGTGGAGCATCTCTCCAGCCCTGGGTGACCAGGATTTAAAATAGGCATAGTTACAAAGACTCATGCAGGGAAAAGCTGAATGTTGTGGAGGAGAAAGACAGACAGGTGTATGCAGACTCAAAGGTGGTAGATGGTGTGGACTTGGGAAACAGACGTGTTCCTACACAACAAAAATCAAGAAGAAATAATGGTCTTCCTAAAATCCTAAGCAAGACTGAAGGACATGAGAAGTAAAACGTTAGGTTTAAGGGGGCAGGAAAAGAATAAAACTCCTGGAATCTAGAGGAAATATACCAATGAGTAAAAAGATTTCCAAGAGTCCTGAAAGTGATTATAAATATACCATAAATACAGGCACAGGTGTGAGCCGATGAAGTCAAGCAAACACATCTTTTACATAGTAACCCTGGTGTCATTTCCGTACATGACAAACATACAACAAACAGGACTAGAGAACAAGGTGAGAAGCAGGAAGGAATCCTAAACTACCACCATCTGCATGCTAGGTGAAGAAGTAACTTCAGATTGCCCAGCATAGTGAAGAGCCAGTCACCAGCCTGGACCCCTCTGACTACTTAACTCTCTGGTGAAGGGTGCATATGCAGCCTTCAAACCTCAGAAGTCTGTTTGGAAAACCTGGAAACCACCTCATCTGTGCAGGACAGAAGGACCACCAGGGGAAGTCAGGCTCATGCCCAACATGCATCTCAGGCCCCCTCTTCAGTGAAACCTCTGCATTCACTCCAACCATGCATTTTCATGCATCTGGTGTTTCCCAACTACGTAACCTTTACCTGAGATGGACAGGACCCTTTGCACACTGCTCTGACATTGATTTCAATAGAGATTTCTTGGTACCACTGTTCAAGCTATGCTTGTGTCATGGCACAACTGAGCAGCATCATTCAGAGTGCCTGGGATGGGAAAACAGTATCCCCACATATGCATAGCAGTCCTGCAATTTGTACTTTCCAAACAGTAAGGCTCCATGGTGGCCAACAGTACATTCTGTTCCTTTAGAAGAAAAAGTAGAACATTTTGTTAAGGTATAACTAATATACAAATGACTGAATGTATCTGATATCCACAAACTCATGACTTGGGAGGTATTTACCAGAGTAAAGAAGCAACAGAGATTAGGATTATCTATCAGCTCTCTGGGAAAGCCTCTCCTTGAACCTTCAAATGCAGGTAGAATTTATTTTCAAACTAAAAGGCTATCGTAATCAACAAGCCAGTGGGGGAGGGGCTTGAAAAAATAAAATCGCTGGGATAGTCATTGTCGGTCATTAACCTGATTTCCTAATGAATATGGCATTAGGCATTCATTAACAATCATTTGTGTTTATGTTGAGCAGTTGATGAGTGATGAAGGTTGGTAAATGAAAGCAAATGTAACCAGGGAATTCTGGACACTTATAAAGCAATTAACTTGTTTGGCAGTAATTACACATTGAAAGCTAAATCAAGTGCATTTAGAAAGCCACAAGAGTCGCCACATAAAGCAAGGGTGCTTTGCTCCAAAATACTCATTAATAATAATAATAATAATAATAATAATAATAGCCCATGTTTCTCTGAAGATGAAAGAGAAGGCAAAAATATACCATAAGTGACGAGCAGAAGGCTTGGGTCTGATGAGAAGAAATGAAGTCATAGCCCATATCTTAGAGAAAAATCAGGTTACCAAAAATAAGGACAGATCCACCCATTTCATTTAAATTTAAAAAAAAAAAACATTGTGACACAATGTTGTGGAACCAGGTGTCACACACTGCGGGATACAGGTTTTGCTCCATTCACATGCACGCACATATATGATGCATCCCCTGCATGAACGGTGAAAAACAAACCTGCTGGCAGGAAGCTCAGACGACCACTCTACTGAAGTAACAGGTTTTTACCACTGACAGTTGTGACCGTCAGATGACACCTGAATGTGGCCTTTATTCAACATAGTGTGTGGCTCTAAGTTCCAGTCATTAAACACAGTCAACAGCTTTCAAAAGCGAATAGAGCACTGCGGTGGCCTTAAGAAAAGAATCCAGGGAAAGATGGATGGACCGGTTAAAGCAAAGGATACAAGCACAAAATTCCAGGCAAAATTTATCACAAAAAATTGTCATCAAAGTGTCTCTGCAGAGCTACATACAAAGCTTCAGTGATGGCGCTTTCAGATGGGAAATCACTGTTTTCGGAATTTCCAGTCCTCTAAAATTTAGTGGAGAAATAGGAAGAATAGAGATGTGTGTGTGTGTGTGTGTGTGTGTGTGTGTGTGTGTGTGTGTGTGTGTATGTGTGACTGTGTGTAAAAGTTTGTGTGGTTGTGTGTGAGTGTGTTATGTGAATGTGTGTGTGTGAATGTGTGTTGTGTGTGACTGTGTATGTGTATGAGAGTGTGCGAATGTGTGTTTGTGTATGCAAATGTGTATATGAGAGTGTGTGTGTGAGTGTGTGTGTGTGTGTGTGTGTGTGTGTGTGTGTGTGTGTGTGAGTGTGTGTGCATTCCATCCTAGGGCAGCAATAAGATGATTAGGCTGCAGGAGAAAATCTTCAGGGGAGCTCAGAGAGTGGACTAAAAACACAAAGATTTTCAAGCTTGAGTCAATGTCTGGATCGCCCTCCTTTAAAGATGGGAAGTGACAAATACCTTCACAAGTAAAGGTTCGCATGTACTTGAGGGTTAGTAACCAAAAGAAAGTTCCCAGGAGGCTCCACAAAGGGCAGCTGGCCTTGTGGAAACATTTGCGAAGCGCTTGGCTGTCAACAAGGCTAAAAGCAAATACTTGCTTTGCCCCTAGGATTGGAACAGAAAGCGGAAACCAGGAGATGGCTTTTGAAATCCCGGGTTAGGTCGCTGAACTGCACCACATAGGAAGATACATTTGCCACAGTGAGTGCCGTTTCTTCTAAAAGGTGTAGTTTGACTATAAGAGAAAAATCATTTGTTTCTAGGCATAGGATCAAATCTCAAAATGCATTAGTGAACTCACTTAATTGAAGCTCCTTTTATAGATCAGAATGTCTACTTAGTTAACTGAAATAGGGGTGTTTCATTCGAAGTTTCCTTGGTCAGCAAATTGCTTCCTGACGTAAACCACACTCCAGCAGTGTACTAATACATCACTCCATTCCTTTGTAGTTGTCCCAGGGGCTTTTCCTGAGTCTTCACAGTCAAAGACACTCATGTGTCAGAAAATTCAGGGAATCTGCTATTGAAGCAGCTGTTATTACGGACAATTCTTACCTTTTAATGTACAGTCAGGTCACCTGGGGCTCACTGGTTAAGACGTGCCGGCTGGCTGAGGGGGTCTAGTGTGGACTCAAGATCAGGCTTTTATAGTAAGCTTCCTGATGATATGGTTCCCATATAATATATCACTGAACCTCTGAGCCTTACAGTATTTATTGTCTCAAAGAGGATATAAGAGGCTAGGAATGGTAGAACATGCCTTATAAGCCCAACACTTTGGAGGCTGAGGCAGGAGGATTGCTAAGAATAATCTGTTCTGCATAGGTAGCCACGAAGAGGTCAGCCGGGGCTATTTAACAATACTCATTTCAAAAATTATAAATAAAATAAAGAGATTAAGACCAAAGATAACTGAAACCTTGAAAATAGATTCCTCTCCAATGAGAGTCCTCAAAAGTATAATGAACCAGGAATTGAGCAATGTCCATTAATAATGAAAAATGAAGACATGGTCTAGCCACCATGTAGTGGACTTTCCAGTTGTCATAGCTATGCCCAACGCGTGTGTATCCACTTGTCTGGTTAATTGCAACCAGGATAATTATTGATTCACACTGCAGTGTGTTCAGCCCCAAAGGAGTTAAACAAAAATGGTGCACAATCTCTATGGTCCTCCCCAGGAAGCCCAGCAGAACAAAGGCCCTGACAGGATGAAGAGAGTACCCAAGATATGCCTCCATCAGACAAAGCAGAAACATGAAAACGTATCA